TACTGAGCTCAGCTGAGCATTGATTACTGAGCTCAACTAAACATTGATTACTGAGCTTAGTTGAGCATTGATTACTGAGCTCTGCTGAGCATTGGTTATTGAGCTCAGTTCAGCATTGATTACTGAGCTCAGTTCAGCATTGATTACTGAGCTCAGCTGAGCATTGGTTATTGAGCTCAGCTGAGCATTGGTTATTGAACTCAGCTGAGCATTGATTTTTGAGCTTAACTGAGTATTGGTTACTGAGCTCAGCTGAGTATTGATTACTGAGTTCAGCTGAGCATTGTGCTGCTTAACTCGCTTTGATTTTGTACTGCGTTTGCATAGCGCAAGAATAGTAGCGTTATTTTCGGAAAAGTTTGGTTTAATGCTGATTTCGTAGATTTCTTATTAAAATGAGTTACCATTTTTTCTTGAATATATAATTAAATGCATATTCTGACAGAATTCTACTAACGTTACTTTGCTTACTTAACGAATCAATTGAAAAATATCTTAGGAGACGGAGTATTAATTTTATTAATTAATAAATTATTATTTTTGTTCATACTAAGCCAGCTTTAAGTGTACGTATTTTTTAAAGCTCGATATCAATCTTAATGCAAACAGTAGCAGTTAGCCATGGCTGCTAGGGTTTATTAGTTATAACTTCCATAAGATCTTTGGTGTCAAACGTAATAAAAAAATAATTTCAACCACAATGTATCTGTGAAGTTTATTGTTTAAATAATAAATATCTCAGCTTTTATTCACACACATTTACATTACATGTTTTTTATTTGATTTTTAATGATATGTTCAATAAATCATTTTACATTATGTGAAGTATTTGCTCGTAACAATTTTTTTTAATTTATCTGAACTTTGGATAGATACAATATTTGTTTTCAATTACATAAATGGTATCAAGGGTATCAGGGTTATCAACTACATTCGCAATTAATGTTTTTATTATAGAACTAGTTAAGTTGAAGCTGTTAACAAAGCGTCATTCTGACGGTTTAGTGTCTTGTTATATTTAAGATACAACGAGTAAATATTTATCTAACCAAACGCTTGTCAAATCGAATCTTACAAATTAATATAAAAAAAATGTGTTTATGGGAAAATTTGAAATGTATTTATGGGAAAATTTGAAAATAATTGATTATTTTTATTTCTATAAAATTTTGTGTAATTTATTTTGATGAATAATTTTTGATTTTCATTTGGGAACTTAAAGCATTAAAATAAATATTTAAATAATTTCTAAAAATAAAACTAAATACTAACAAATGTTATTCAATCGTTTTAACCACAATCTGAATTTTATCTTCCTATCGGCTAGTGAGTGGTTGATATATTAACAAATAAAGATTAAACGCTATTCAAAGGCAAATTTATTTAATTTGTATATATTGTATATAATTTTTTGTTAATTTCTTCACTCCATTTAATTGGGTTGGTTACCCAATTTAAGCGTCCAAATGCCGGTTAATTGCATTCAATATTTCAGTAGTGTGCTTTCCTTATCTCTGCGATAAGATTAAAATATTATACATTATGCCGGCGTGTTCACAAGGTATTTCGAAATTATTTATTTGTAATATAATTAACTGACATTCCAAATCGAAAACATACGTTTTCAATTAAATAGAAAAAACTTCTCCGATTTCCAAATGGTCTCCCAAGAAATATACAAATAAACAATTATGAATTTTTCATTGAAAAATGATCTACAAGTCAAGGTTACCTCACTTCACTTCATTTCACTTCACTTTACGTCGATCGTCCAAGTGAAAGTTGTTTATTTATTACGATTGTATCTATTGTTTACAATTGTATATTATGTATTGTATCTGCAAGGGATTTACTCATAGCTCATTGCTTATATATTGTATGTTATAATAAATAAATTTCGTAATTAATTTTATTTTTTGAATACATTTTGAATTACATTTTTCTGCCATTCATTGCTGCCAATAAAACTAGAAATGACATAAAAAGTATAAAGTATACGAATAAAAGCCCATCGCGGCATTTTTTTTTACCATTTTTCACTTTGTTTTGTTTGTTGAATATCCGCTGAATGGTCTTGATTCAAAAAATAGTTGATGACTATTTAACTAAATATTTACATAATATTTTTTATTTAATTTAAAATATGATTTTGATTTATATTCGCTTCAAAACATGTTTTCAGTTGAACTTAGTGTGTATAAATATTTTTGTATACGTAATTTCCTCTTATTTTATTGTTTAAAAACTTATCTGGTAAACTAATATGTACTTAATAGATTGCTTACTTTACCTCTTTATATATTTATTAAAGAAAATTCTATTAGAAACGATTGAAACAAGTACTTTAATGAGAAATAAGTGCGTAAAAGTTTCCCATCATATTTTTGGCACGATGACTTCATTCCGAATTTCCGATCTCCGCGGTTTGACAACGGAATTTGGTAAATTTAACTATTTTCACCAAATTCCATTACGCTACATGTCCATAAAACTTGGTTCTTGATATAGCCGAACTTAAAGCTGAACATCTAGGTGTTTATCAAACGTCTATGCGTAATCAATTTATATGTTTACTATACTAATTGCTTTTAGATATCGTGAGACTATGTTTTACTTTCATAATCAATGTAAAAATTTAATATTTTAAACCCCAATATCTCGAGAATCAACCTATTTCGGTATATTTCGCATTGAAAGAAGGTGGTCCAAATATTGAAATTAATCAAAATTAGTAAAACAACTTTCTTATCCTTTCTTTAAATTATTGTCTGTCTGAAGCTAAAATACAAATGTTGTTATATATATAGATACAATAGACATTTTTACTATATCTCAACTAAAGTTGAAAGTTATTATTCTTACCTGCCTACTGCTTTGAAAAAGATAATTTTTCTATCATTTACAATATCGGATTCTCTTATTATTTTTACAAAATTGGTTTATTTTCATATTTCATATCATAAAGATTTAAATTTACGATATGAATTAAAAACCATTATGGGCTCTAAATGATACCAGTTTTAGTATTACTCACTTCTGGCTGAAAAAGTATTTTGTAGGCATGAACTTTGCCTTTTGTGCGTAGCATGTGACTTATGGCATATGACATCATATGGGCAACCACCTATTCACGTTATTTGTTTAGTTTGTTTATATATATTAGCAACTATTTCTATAGATAATTAAATATTAGCATCGAGGCAATAAAAAATTAATATTCCCTCTATACTTTTCTACATTACTATTAATTAACTAATTAATCACAATAAATTGAATTATTTTACTATTCTTCCATTTCCGCTTTGTAGTTGTAATTCTAAAAGTGATTACATATAAATCTAAATACATGATACTAGAGCTACTGCATCGGACTATGTATATAACATAACATATAATATATGATATACCTATTCTTTAAAAGATAAAAAGTTTTTAATGTCCCAAAATCAGTTTTATTTATTCGGTTATATATAGACTATTTATATATGATTAGTATATAGTTATTAAAAAACGATATACTGACAATTAAAGTACAAAGTCCTATTTTTTTGTTGTAATCAATTTATGTTAAAAAAGTTTTGATTTAGGGAGTGCCTTCTTATGGCCTCTGATAAAGAGGGTTGCATATATTGAAGGAAAAACCTTTTGTATATAAATTTTTTTCAAAAAGTCTGGAAATTTTATATTCAGATTTTGGGCATTCAGGAGTTTCTATTAGACTATAATCCACTTTTACCAGTCTAGATACATAGTGATATTTTGTGTTGGAGACTTATCAAACTAGTCCATTCTCCCTTCTAGTATTGGTTTCCTATGTATTTTCCCTATTATTAGCTGCTTTAGTGACGTTAAATGTATATATAAATTCTCTTTTTTTGAAGAAAAACGTCTCTTAAGACGTAACTTATTTTAGTCTTAGTTCTGTTACCTGAAATTTTCCTATGCTATGGCACTGAAATGAGATATAGTGGTAGCTGACAGAAGTCTGCGATACTTATTAATTGGTTGAAGTTTGAGTTGCTTTTATATCTGAAGGTTTGGAGATATACCAATCTGCTTGAAATGTATATCGTTTGCTTTTTAAGTTGTGGACTATTTGTTAAAATTTTCAGCATTCAATAGTTAGTTAGTTAGTTAGTTAAAGTGGAGGAAGAAACGCACCCTCCTCAATTAGTTCGCAATGATGAGTAGAATAATGGACTAGTAAGAACCAGCCAGAAGCATTAATAAATGTGAGTGTCCGGCCAATATTAATGTTCGAAATATCTCTGAGTGTGTTAAAGAAATGGAAATCTAAAAACTTAAGCTTAGTTTTGTATAAGCCTGAACATAGACACATCAGGTGTTCTGGTGCCTTTCCTTTAAGCACCGGTAGACATATGGTACAGGAGATACTATAGGATAGACCGAGCTTAGCCTCATGCCGTTCTATGGTTCAGTGTTCTGTTAAAATAACTGTTTGAAAAATAATCATTTTTAGATTTTTAATGATTTTAGGTGTTTATATAATATTTGAAAAAGAAATATAGTTCCTTTACTGTCCAAAAACAAACAAAAAATTAATATCTAAATAAAAATCAATATTTTAAAGACAATGATGTTTGCACAGCAATTGAATCCAGTTTAAAAGTTTGACCTTAACTCTATTCAATTTAACTCAACGAATGAAGTTTAATAATCTGTAATTAATAATTTCTTTTGATTAATGGAAAATGATGTGTTATCTGCTGCCTTCACTCAATCAAAATTTATCATATATTATTTGTATTTTTACCAACCTATAAATTCCTTAATTTTTGTTTTTGAATTATAATAAATTTAATTTTATGTTTAAATTAGTAATTTGTAAGTATTTTTGTTTGTAATTTATTTAAATTTGTGTAATTTTGATTTCTTTTATTTTCATATGTTATTTGTTGTCTACGTCAATCTACCTCATGAAATTAAAAATAAAATTAATATTAAAATCACAACCAAACAATTCGTTTTTACTCGTATAGTATGGTAGAAAGCGCTTTCACGAGCTACGTCAATGCATGAATAATGATGAAGATGATAATCCTGGAAATACACTCACGCCTGATTCTCAGGTATTATCGCTTAGATTTCTTAGTAAACTTAATTGTTTTGTTTAACCGTTAACTATATTAAATGTCTAATCCTTAAAACTGTATATGTTAAATGTTAATTGTTATTTAATTTTTATTATAAACATTTTAACTAAACTTTTTGTTTATTTAACAGAATAGCTCCACAGATGGAGTATTCACAAATCGTCCCACACATCCTTTCAAAGTGATTGAAAATGATACTGTTAGCATACAAAGTATGACATCCTTGGGACGCGTTGGACGAATATTAGCAGGTACTATTGATCCGTCAGGTAAGTTAAATGTGATATTTATTATATCCTATCTCTCTATATCTTTGTAACTTTGTTATAGCCATAAGTGTTGATCGTGAAACTATAACATCTTCCAATTCATCAGGTAATTCACAGCAATTGCAGTTACAACAGCAACAGCAACAGCAACAGGCGCAGCTACAGCAACAGCAATTACAACAACAACTTATAAATAACGGAAATATAAATTCAGCATACACATTCGCCACAGAAACCGCTGCCATCAATAGTAATAGTAATAGTAACAATTTTCACACAAGTGCACCCCATTCACCCGCTTCTATTGGACGTAATAACATTCATACAAAAAGTGCAATAAAACATGCTTCTCCAACACATAGTATGGCTACAACAACAGCATCGACAGCTGTGGCGCCACTAAGTAAAATAATATTGCAAGAACCTGATGTTATAGCTAGTACAAAACTGGCACATTCTAAAACTACTGACTCGATTACTTCAAGTGGTCCGATAGCGCCACCTAGACGTAAAAAGAAATCTCGTAAGGTATCGTCCAGTTCTACAGAGCAATTTAATGATGGTATGCGTTTGCCGACTGTTGATAATGAGGACACAGACAGTGATACACGCTCGGTGCAAAGTGTGCGCGACGTACAGCAGATGTTGCGTGATGACCTAGTAAAAGAAATTGAAAGCTCTTGGGTTGATAGGAGTACGTTAGCGAGTGGCTTGCAGAGAGCATCATCAAAAACGTCATACAGTGGTTTGAATTCGCATAGTACTCTTATTGCTTCCTCTTATGGTAATGGTATTGTTACAATGTCTATGGCGTTTTCAACTGGACCGTCCACAAGCACAGCAAATTCAGTGTCCTCTGCTTCGTTAGCACAAACTTCAACATGTAATACAAGGCCTGTAACTACAGCAGCACTTGGTGGTTCCATTAATCGTATTTCACATTCATTAGGTAACAGTTCCACTTCAGTTTACTCAAAACCGAGTCCGTCAAATTCTGCGAAAAGTAATTCTGCACCTGGTCGAGTTCGGTACTTGTAAGATTATAAAGCTTATGACTAGAATTTAAATTTAGTTTATCATTTACAGCTCGATCGATCCGACACAAGGGTTAAATATTTTCAAAGCAACACAAGGTGGCTATGTCGTACAACCGCGTGATGAACAATGTAACAAAGCTGAAGGTCCAACACAAGAAGAAATTGAACGTATGGAACAACTCTTAGTTAATAGTACGATGAGACCAAAACTATCTGGTACTGGATCGAATAGTTTAGGCAGTGCCACAAGGTTAAAATTTTTTTTAAAATATTTATTTAATAATGATACATAAGAATAATTAAGACAGAGCATTTTAATTATTTTAGTGCGCTATAGAAGACTTTAGATAAGAAAGATTTGCTTGCGTCAAAAGCCCTCAGATGATGTGTAATATATAGTTATTATGTAAAAACTATTTTTTTACTCATTCTATTGTTGTTGTAAAGTATATTAAGTTATTATCTGATTTTGTCTATAATGTCACTGATAGCGTAATATACATAATTTGTTCAACAGAACTTATATAACTTATTTCTTTCTAATTTTTAATATATTATATATATTAGATTCAGGTTTGTTAGGTCTAATCCACACAAAATTAATAAGAAAATCTAAATATATTTGAAATCTATATTGTATAAGCTTAACAAGAATAAAATAGGTTTAACTATACAATAATATAAAAAAAACTATATTGGCCGTAATTTATCTGTTTATGTGTTTCATTATACACTAAATTAAATCCAAATGACTTTGGTTCAGTATTTTTAAAGTTGCAATATCTTTAATGCTAATTTTCTTATCTTTCTCTTATTCATATTATGTGTATAAATAACATTATACACTTTCTTATCTCTCCTTAATGTAGTTTAAGATGTAGAAAAAGATTTCACATATGAAAGAAAATATAAAAATAGAGCATTATCTCAATTAATGTACTTTTATTTATAAATTGTTTAATTTGTGTATTAAATTGTTATTTATATTAATAATTAATTGTAAATTTTTTAGGTATCCATCAATGCTTTATCGAAGCAATAATGAAAAAGAGCGACGCAAGTCAGCTGGAGATGAGGATGTGCTCAAACAGATGAATATTTATGTGCGTACACGCACAAGCTCTGGTAAACAGTTAACCGATTTTGAGATACTCGAACAAGTTCCTGTTAAAAATCTCGATACAGGTGAAAATATGACATTATCCGAAGTACGTCCACCACCCGTGCCAGAAGGCTGGAACCCATTATCTTTGCATATACTCAAATTAACGTCTCATTTGGAAGTGATACAAAAAGAATCGGATGAGGAAAGCGTTATTGGTATACCGCCAAGTAGTGAAGGTCAGCAACCCGATGAGGAGGAAGGCGAAACTGAAGATGGCAGTAGATTAAAAAAGAAAACTGCACGTATTAAGCGATTTTTTGGTTCCACTATGCGCAAAACAGTGGATAAAGCGAAGTCATTGGCTTCTGAAGTTTCACATGCACGTCACAAAGAGGATGTGGCTGATATTGTTGATGTTATGAATCCTGAGCAAAATATCAAAATTAAAGCATCTTCCACTAATAAAGGACCTTATGAATTTACTAAACTGCAACATGTACAGGTGACTAACATTATAAACATTATATAGACGTTAATTTTAGTATCTTAATTATATTTGTTATAATTGTTTATATAATAGTTTTTTCTTAAATTTTTAGTTTTTTATGATTATATTAAATTTTTTTATAGTGATATATATAAATTATAAGTCATTTATTATAAATCATTATTATTAATTAAGTAAAGTTGCTCAATTACTTGCTAAGGGAAAGCAAACTTATTTCATTTATTATGTATGTTTATTTTTCTTAAAGATATAAACATTATATATCAATTTATTGTTATACTTTCTTATGTCAATATATTATTGGTATATATCTGTCTTATACCAATAAATTTTTTATAAAAATTAAAACTATGTACATATTAAATATAAATTCAACTAAAATCTTGAAAAATAATAATTAATATTTTTTCTTTTGAAACTGATATTAAATTTGTTACTTACAATTTTTATTTTATTCGTATTATTATTTTAAATAGGATTTATGTGGAGAACATACTGGCGCTGTTTGGTGTATGAAATTCAGTTCTTGTGGACGACTTTTGGCAACTGCTGGACAAGATAAAATTCTACGTATTTGGGTTTTAAAAGATGCCTATCCATTTTTTCAGGTAAATTATATTTTCTCTTTTTTTAAATCTTATGTGCTGAACATTTATTTTTCAAAAATCTTATAGGACATGCGTACAAAGTATAATGCCGATCAGAAATCCTCACCCACACCTTCACAGGAATCATTGGCGCAGCACTCAGCGGAAGAAGCAATTGCAATGGCAGCTGCTGCAGAAAAATGTACAGGTCCGTTCATGCCGAAAGCTTTTTGCAGTTATATAGGACATACGTCGGACTTGCTTGATGTATCTTGGTCGAAAAATTATTTTATACTTTCAAGTTCTATGGATAAAACAGTCCGTCTATGGCACATTTCTCGTAAAGAGTGTCTTTGTTGCTTTCAGCATATTGATTTTGTCACTGCGATTGCTTTTCATCCACGTGATGATCGTTATTTCCTAAGTGGTAGTTTAGATGGTAAATTACGGTTATGGAATATACCCGATAAGAAGGTTGCACTTTGGAATGAAGTCGATGGACAAACCAAATTAATAACTGCTGCGAATTTTTGTCAAAATGGACAATTTGCTGTTGTTGGTTCATATGATGGGCGTTGTATATTTTATAATACTGATCAGCTTAAGTATCATACGCAAATACATGTACGTTCGACACGTGGTAAAAATCGTATTGGACGTAAGATTAGTGGTATTGAACCTATGCCAGGAGAAGACAAAATACTTGTTACTTCAAATGACAGCCGAGTGCGTTTATATGATTTGAGGGATCTAAATTTATCATGCAAATACAAAGGATACCTTAATGTATCCTCACAAATAAAGGCATCGTTTAGTCATGATGGTAAATATATAATTGCTGGCTCAGAAAATCAGTGTATTTACATATGGAAAACAAATCATGATTATTCGAAATTAAGTTCCGTAAGTTTATTCAAGAATATTTAAATTTTAAAAAATATTAATTAAATATTGATTTTAATTTAGGTACGTCGCGATCGCAGTGATTTTTGGGAAGGAATCAAAGCTCACAATGCTACAGTTACTTGTGCCATTTTCGCGCCACATCCAGAGGCCATCATTAAACCTGAACCAGATGAAATTTCTCACGCAAAAGTGAGTTTTCGTTATAAATAATTGATTTGTATATTATTTTTATGTATATCTTTTTTTTCCAGCTACAAAATAATCAACCCGATCCACTTGTTGAACAACATAAAAAAGGTTGTGGCTATGTAATGGTTAGTGCCGATTTTAACGGTGCTATTAAGGTTTTTATAAATAAAACAAAACCCAAACATAGTAGTTTACCTTATACAGCGATAGCAGATTAAGCTTATAATCAAAAAAGAACAAAAAAACTCGCGTTATGGGAAATAGTATATTTTTTTAACTTTAAATTAAAAATTAAATTTGAATTTAAATAATATGCAAATCAATCGGAAAAATGATAAGCAAGTAAATGCACTACGCAAAAGCAACTGATATCACTTCTTAACAAACATTAAATAAGTTTTAATTTCACTTTCTTTCATTATTGCAAACATTTACTAAATTATTAGAAATAGAGTAATTAATATTTTACAAAAAAATTTAAAAGTGTGTATCGATATATATATATAAACTATCAGCATGCAAATATAATAGATATGTCATATTAACAGATATATTATTTAAAAAGCAGTTAAATGAAGTACTAACGAATACCTTATATGAAATCAAAATATTATATATATATATATATATATATAGTATATACTAGTATATAAATAGTAATTTTTGTTATTCAGCAACACTAACTCTAATCAAAACTAAGCGAATGTATAGCGATAAAACTGATTATTTCAATATTGAATATTTATTACAAAATTTTGGTTAATGTTATATATGTGTCGACTGTTTCGTAAACCTTCATGGAATTCAGAAAACACAAATCCTAATAAGGTGCTTTTACCACTGAAATGCGTAAGGTTTAAAAAAATAAAGAATTTGAATTTTTTGGGACACCCTAATGTATATTGTAAATCACTACAATAAGCAGTAGATAAAAATCTAAGCCATTTGCCATCGACAACTAAGTGCTGCTCACAACAAGTAGGGTTCTCCTTGAACAGAGCAATGATCCGAATTGCAACAATTTTTTTTTTTTATTTTTTTGCTTTGTTTGTTAATATGTTTTTAAATGGTGTGCATTTTACAATATAAAATTAATATATCTTAAAACTTCAGGAACTTCAGTTGGGAAGTTCCAGTTTCTCACCATCCTTTCTTGTTAATTAAATAATTCTCTGAATCTCTTGCAATGAACAGTTAGTTCTTCGATTTTCTTTAGCGTGTTTAATAGAATCGTTTTTTTCACTTCTAGTCTTTTTTGCGACAAGAGATTCATGTTCGTCTATAGGTCTTTCAAATTCTTCTAAATCCATAACCATTTATACAGTTAAAAAATATATTAAAATTATGTCTTTAGGTAAAATTATTGAAAATTGAAACTAGCGCTTAGAGAGAGCCTGGCTTTTTTGGTTTAGTTCTGCATAAATATTTTTTTATGTATTTTATATTTATCACAAATAGTGATTGAAATCACGATTTATTCTTATTCAATAGTTTTGATAACTGAAGAGTAATGCCCATGTTCTCTAATAAGCAAGTACCGCACTGCACGATGTTGAATCGAAATAAACCGATATATGTTTTCGGTTTTCAATGCCGGTTTGCTTTTTAAAAAAATTATCGGCTATCGGTTTACGATTTAGTTCGGGTTCGAATCACTGATTTAAATTTATGTGCATTTCGCATTATCAATTTTATCGTATGAATCAATATTACGTTTCGAGTAAAAAATAATATATTTATTTTAAGAAAATATCCATTTAGATTTTATTGAAGATGTTGCCATGTCGTAGTGTAGAGCATGACAAGATTTCAAGTTTACTTATCTACAATATATAATCTATATTAAATGGGTTCACTGTGCAGTGATAGTATCGTAATTCAGGTAGTAATAGACCCTGATAGTCCAAATTTCATTTTAGATAATTAATTCAATTAAATATATAAAAGAAGTTTTAGATAATGTGTATGTGTTTATTTCTTATTTTGCGTCCCTATATCCAACTAATGGAAACGGGCATTAAGAAGAAGCTGTTCTTATTTGCATACAAACATCGAAGATATCTACTGTTGTTGTTGTGGGATTCTTCGTAACTTCTCCATGCTATGTGAAACATAGCATTTAAAGAACCTAAACGTATATTAAACTGAGGTTAGAAGGCAATTTAGACACAAGGAGATATTTTTTATGCTTATTGTTGCCATAGTTGGTTTCTGTATTACAAATGTCAAGAATTCTGATCTGCAGAAATTCACGTATATTAATAACAAATTTTTAATTTAAATAAAAATAAAACTAATTCAAAGTTAGGGAAATAGAAGTGTTTACTGCTATGCTTGTTAATTAACAAAGCCACATATTAATTGAGAATCCTAAATTTATATCATATAAATTCTTTATTAAAACAAGGAAATTAAATAAAAAAATATTCCCTTTTAGTTATAATTGATATTGCACTTATTTTTGATGTTAGACACAAAATTGCAAAAATGTATATAAAAAATTAAGTTATAATAAACAAATGCTTTATGTTGTATGTTAATATTTTTGTCGTATGTGTAGTGCATTTTATACAAACAATGTAACTTAATTATATTTTAAATTTTATTTATTTTTAAATATATATTACTATATATATTTGCTTAAAGTCAATTATATATTAAAACTGCAAATGAAAATATTTTTTAATGTAAATGTTATTTAAGTTCATGCAAAGCCAATTATGTACTTTTATTGCAATAATAAAATTATGTAAATTATTACATGTAATAAATAATAAAATGTTTATTCAATAATTATAATAAATATAAAAAATTAATTTCATTAATGATATATGTATATAAATAATATAATTAGAGTAGTATGATAAGATAATGTGCACTTGAAGGTATCTGATATGTGCTTATGTGCAGAGTAGATTTATTTATTTCAATTATTCGTGGAGTTTATTTCATCTACAACTCCTAATGATATTTCAGGATTAGCTGTTGTTGTTACACCATTATCATTGGAGTCATCGACGACTTCAATGCCTCTAACACTGAAATCCATACAGGCTAATTGGAAGTTTAACAACTCAAAGCTAAGAAAATTTAACGTGGCATTGCTGCATGCATGGAGTGTGCTGGTGTCGCTATGCTGCCTTATGCCATGCAATTTCAAGCAGCCGGAAAGCGGTAGTGGAAGCGGCACCGGTAGTGGTATACAGAAAGGCGGTATTTCATTACCAGAAAAATGATTTGTCAAAACCGTATCACCATTCAAAATTATATCTGTGCGTATGTCAAATAAGTCCTGATTTGTTGTCCAACGAGCACATACTATTATTAAACATAGGATAAATTAAAAAATTAAAAAAAGCTATGAACAGTAGTATTTATTAAGTAGACTAATAATTACTCACTACTTTGATTAAAATTGAAAATAGTATTAATTATATTGGCACAGCAGCCACAATTCCACTCGCTTAGGCAACTACAATTGTTTCTCAAAAATTGACTTGTGGTACGTATGCGCTGTATTAACACATGGTGTTTCTCCCGTACTCGATCTTTATCCTTTTCCTTATCGCGCATGCGATGAGTGCTGACAAAAACGCAGGCGATTACTAAGAAAATTGCTATGTAAATTAAACGCGTGGATATAGCGCCCATGTTAACACTCGGCAGTTGCACTTACAACTGTTGGGAATGCAATCCAGTAGAATGCGACTGGAGCTGCAGTTTAAACTTGGCCAGAACGTTTTGTGTTTGCTTAATTACCAAGTATTGGAATTTCCAAGTTGAGCTGCTGTTTTTTTTCTGCAATTGTTTGTTATCTTGTGTATTTGAAACGCATTTGTTTTAACGTGATGGGCTTATCTACAACTACTGTAACTTTTTTGCATTTAGGCTTATATTAGCTAACTTACATAAATTTACAACTGAATAATGTAGAAATAGTCTTGTTCAGAACAATTTTTGAGAACGCATTATGCATATTTTATTAGTCGACACGTTGTGCTGGTTGCAGACAGGCAAGATTAATTGGTGTGTACTCAGGAAGGGATAAACCAAAATAACTACTTCAGCAAATTTTAAACAGAGTAGACAATTTGTTGTTGGTTCATATGATGGACATTATAAACATTATACTACAAGCCAGAATAAATGTTGTAATTCTTATGCGAGCGTGAAGCCTTAATACTGCAGTTTTCATAAACGCATCAAGATAATGCGCTGATAAACACCCTTTTGTGAAGTAATTCCATCTGTACCCATTGAAGTTATATATTTGAATACAAATTTTTCTTTGTTGAGGAGTGAAGTTATTTAAACTGCATCTTTGAATACCAGCACCTGATTGCAAAATGCAACTCTACATTGAGTAAAAGCACGAATGCTAATACTCTATCTGATCTCAACTAATCCACTACGTTGTCTTATGGAGCCATCCTTGTGTCCACGATAACTAAAGATTGGGACACTTAGATCCTATGGTATCCAATTTCAGTTCTAGTTGTTTTTGTTATAGTCTGGGAAGACTTATACAGCAAATAACTTGAAACGCACAACAAGTACGAATACATGGCTTATAATATAGTTATATAAAGGAAGTGTGAAAGAAAAGAAGATTGTTTGGGATCAAGAACGGATTATGAACAAATGAAATTAATTGAAACTAGTCTGCGTCGAGTCGAAAAAACTTATCCAGCAAAGTGGGACGGAGCGGTTGCCACACATAAATATCCACTTGCTAACAGTCATGATTTAAAACCATGCAAAGTAGTGCCTTATCGAATTTAGTTGCATTTTCTGTATCTATCCTATTCAATTGCAAAAGTGAAATGTAAACTCTGTATGAGGTATGAATCGCATTGTATGTAAGACCCAATGAGGATATGGACTTAGTAGTATGCATGCCAGACAGTCTTGTTCTAACTAATATTTTATTATATAAAGAGAAGAATGTATATCCTAAATATGATGAACCCATAACGAACTTATAGACATAAAGGCATGTTCATGACAGACAGACTTGTGCAGTAATAATGGATGAATAGGAGGACCTGTTGTATTAGTAAAGTCGTAATATTAGAATAATAGACATTAATAAGAACTTTAAATAAAATAAAGTATGTTTTCTTTGTTTTTATGAGGAGAACATGTTATTGGTCCCAGTTTCCTTTTTCGCTTCCTGGACACGCCTGCAAGCATACTGAAAACTATCAAACTATTCACGTTCTTGTTTAAGTCGTCAATTATTTTTCAGCTTAATTTTATTGCAATGAACTTTAATATCTCTTCCAAGTTCAGACCACACCAAATGTTACAACCACTTGAAGTTTGATAGTAATTAGTATTTTATTGTAAGATTACAACAATGAGAATAAAAAAGAATTTTTTTCAATATGTTGTTCTCTTACGATAATTTCACATGAAATTACTACCGTTGTAATATAAAAAGTCCAATATTGAAACAATTGCCCGTCTACTTAATGGAAAATGACAAACATTCTCTTGGCTCCATTTGTGCTATAAAAAGTGTAACTTTCCAAATGCAGGACGATTTTATTGTCCTTTTTTCAATTAAGTGCTGCAGACTGCAATAAAATTTTTTTTGATTTTGTGTTGCCACACTCAATGCTGCAGTAACAAATCCGGATATTCCCAACTCAAATTAATAAAGCAGGATTGCGAAAAATTTCTTGAATGAATGCCAAATTTCTTTTGTAGTTTCCAATTTTGAATCCTTTTGCTTTAGAGTTAATATTTTCACGCTTATCTGGAAATTTATAAAGTTTAGTAAGAGATTTCAGACAGATGAGCTGTGATTTATTGAAAGATGACTATGAGATTATGACTTTTTGTTGAGGTATTGTATATTTCTGACAGAAATAGAAGTCCGAGTAGATAGAAGGTTGTGGATTAAGAATCACTTTTTCATATTTCAAATAGATCTGAAATGTTTTGGTATTTAATTTAAGGTAGGATTTTGACTAAAATGGAAAAATTTTAAAGTTATAAGATAGGTGTTTCATTGTCTTTCAAATTGTTGTCAATTGATTGTCTAAGGTAGAGCAATTTATACATAATTATTTCGAAGTAATTGCTTTAAATCAGAAAATAGTTATATTTTCTATTAGGTTAGGATAAGCCGGTTAGATTCGAGCACTTTTCAAACTCAAATAGACTGAAACCTCTGTCCAGTGGTTTCATTATCTTTCTCTTATTATTCTTTAATTATTATTATTCTATTTAAAAGTCTACTGTTTTACTTTTTTGTCATAATCTATGTAACTCATACATTTTTAGTGGATGTGGAAATAAATCAATCAATACTGGTAGTGTTATTCACCATCCATTAAAACCAAAAATGATGAAATATAGCAACGGAAGAGTTTCGAACTCCTCTTCCTTTTTTCGCTTCGCACTTAGCACAAAAAATATTATTGGATCTAAAGCACTCCGCCAAATATTTTTTTCCGTGCCAAAGAAAATAAAAATTGACACTTCCATTTGAAAACAGTATTCCTGCGACATTATAATCTTATAATCCTTATTTGCTATTTTAAGCTTAAAAGGGCTATAAGTGCAACCAAGTGGGAATACAAAAAGTATATAGAACTGTCTTAGTGACATAAACGGGTAATTTTAAAAGCATGCAAGGTATGAAAAAAATATTGTATAGAAATGAGTTTACTCTTCAATAGAGTAAAAATTGAAATCATGAATTCAGAAACGTTTGACTTACAAAATAACAATTAGAAACGACTGCGAAAAATAAATTTATTTTTCTTCAGAAATATTGCATATTCCATGCATAATCTTTAAAAAGGAGAACTTTTATTAAAATTATAGAAAAATTCCGCAGACATAAATTTTAACTTTTGCACCAATTCCTAAGGAAACTCCCTTAGAACTTCTTTTGTACACAACAATAGCTGCAATCTCAACTATGTGCCTTGCAGCAAATGCGTCTCAAGGCATGTTGCTTGCTTATGCTGGCAATGCATGCACTCCACAGTAGACCTCAAACGACGTGAGACCTCTGTTACTGCAGTTAAAATTCTTCATTTAAGCCATCGAGTAATTGCTTCACTTCGTTAAATGAATTCTGTTTTCAGTGGAAGGAATTAAAATGTTGGTGCTGAAGTATGACATGCCTGGTTGATGCCACGTGCGCCAAGAAATTACCGCAATTCAAACAATGAAGACAATCACAAATGCTGCTTCAGACACAAAAGTCAAATCTTTTACGCATTTTTAAAATACTCGTCCCTTCTGAGTTGGGCTGAAGGAATATTCAATAAGGAGAATAGAAGAAAGAATGTAGAATACATAGACATGTGATGAAAGGATATGCATGTTCTATGACTTTGCAGTATATAAGCAAATAAATATATTAAAGGTTTTATTATAAAAGTAAATAAGATTTCATATATATTAGGTAAATATGATGGTTAATGAAGTCGTTTCATTCTAAAAGGATTAAAGGATATTAGCGTGGTTACAAAATGTAATAATATGTAGATTTTATAAGTTGCATCTAACACTTATATTCTAGGTGTATGCAAAAGTTTATTCCGATTCAATTAAGAGATGGCTTCAGCGAAAAGCATGCAGCGTGCTAATGTGACACAAACATCATTTTGTTTGTCCGACATTAACTCTAACCCTTACTCTTGGGTCAGAGTAAGCAAATGGGTTAAATGCAATATTAATAATAAATAATTATATTAGTTTGGTTACCTTTCTTTAACCAAACTTACTAGGAATGTGGAATTAAATGGGTTATTCGATTGTTCTTCCACCTCACCCTCCTGCTTAAAACAGATAGATCGATAGGCACCTGTAGAAAACCATTTCACCTAAGTTCATCTTACCTAGAGCATACTAAGTCGACTCAATGTGATACCAAAAAGAAGTTCTAAGCCATGGACTTGCTGACTATAGGAATTTTGTTTAAAAATATTCTTGCTTAGGTCTGAAATAACATTGTGCTGTTTTGATTAAACGGGTAATATTTTTAGCACAAATATTAACAATACTGAATAATTTTAACCTTAGAAAAATTTAAAATTTTCTATTTACCTTAATTTATTGCATTCAACACTTTATAACAACAACTTTCCGAATCGTAAAAGCTATATAAAAACTGAAAACCTTAGCTGGTTTATTTGATGAATTTGGTTAAGAAATAAATTATTAAATTATTTTATTATTATTAAAGTAAAAATAATAATGGCACTTTTTTTTTTTCTTATTACAGTAGATCATCTAAATGATCAAAGACAATATTGAGAAAAATATATGACAGTACTGAAAATCGTCTAATATTAGATGGCGTGAAAAATACATAGTCTTTGCTTATTATAGATAGAGTAAAGTGTTAATTGATGATTATAATCACACAACTACGCTCTGTCAAAAGTTCAAGACTAAAAGAAGAATAGCAATAATTGTTATGAGATAAGAAGTGATAAGAAGTGCACAGTGATCTTAATTTTTTTGATGCTATTATGATTGATTACTGCTGGTTGATCTATATTCTCTGAATAATATCTCTGCATATTCCTGTAGTTCTGCAGACTGTAATTGAGCTACCATGGTTTGCTCTACTTCTAGTCGAATGTTTGTTGCCGAATTACTCTAACATATAGATATGCATAGATATAGTTTTTGCCATCTACAGTGGAAAAAACACAGATAATTATTTTAACTTTAAAGGTGGTT